ACTTATCCAGACAGACCAGACAGACAGGAACAGTCGAATTAAAAGGCTCCTCTAATTTCGAAGCTCTCTATGCCCTTAAGATCGAAACACAGTAGTAGAGGCATTGCTGCTAGGCAGTAAAAATAAGTAAGAGAGTGACACTTATCCAGACAGACCAGACAGACAGGAACAGTCGAATTAAAAGGCTCCTCTAAGTTCGAAGCTCTCTATGCCCTTAAGATCGAAACACAGTAGTAGAGGCATTGCTGCTAGGCAGTAAAAATAAGTAAGAGAGTGACACTTATCCAGACAGACCAGACAGACAGGAACAGTCGAATTAAAAGGCTCCTCTAATTTCGAAGCTCTCTACGCCCTTAAGATCGAAACACAGTAGTAGAGGCATTGCTGCTAGGCAGTAAAAATAAGTAAGAGAGTGATACTTATCCAGATAGACAGACAGACAGGAACAGTCAAATTAAAAAGTTCGTTTATTATAGGTTGGCTAAATCTTATTAATATTTAATATTATTATTAAAATAACAAAATCAGTTTGGCCACAAATTCCAATTATGTATTTTAATATGTATACAATTATGAGTAGACTTACAAAGAATATTCGGCTATTATTCGGTATTTGGTCTACCGAACTACTTTTATCTTATCCGGTCGAATACCGAATATCTCGGTATTATTCGGCCGAATACCGAATATTTAAGTAAAATGCTCTGTTGTAGTCAGAAAATAATTGGTAAAAATATGGAAAATATGGATTTATTTTATAATAATATATTATATTTCTAGTAATAACTAAAGTAGCCATAGGTACAAATTCAACTTCTGTATTATAAAAATTAACAAAAATATATCAAATAAATGTGGAGGATTATGGTGTAGAAAAAATATTTTTTCTGCAATTTCAGGCAGTACACTCCTTTTCTTCTCGTAAGTAATCTCAGCTTCAGAGAAAAGACGCTCTGAATAAACACTAGATACTTCACTACTTCCTTCCTGACCGAATGCTTTTGCCTAATATTCGGCTATTTGTCCTGCAAGCCCTCAGAATATTCGGTATTCGGCGTGTGGCCGAATATACTAATAATTGCAAGTCCAACAATTAGTTAGACCATACGCTTCCTAATTGTTCAATAGGTTTCACATCTTTTCAGGTATGAAATAATAATTGTAATTTCGTTCAGTTGAACTAGGCTAAACTACACATTATAAAAAAATTAAGCTTTTAAGTAAAAGGCAAAGCTTCTGAGCTAATCTGGTTCCGGTGTAGCTTCCGTCATAAGTATTGTGAAATGCTCAAACAAAACAAATTATAATTATTTTTTATCAATTGATTATTATCAAATATCTTACTTCAACGCGAGGTTTATTAAATTAAGAGAGATACGAGATAAAATTAGAAATATTGAAGTAAGAAATAAAAGCAAAGTCGCTGACGTACTTGCCCCTACTGATCATCAGAAATGGAGTTGGACAGAACACATGCTACGTTTCAAAACAAATAAATGGTTTCAAGCAAATCACTGTATGGTACTCAAGGGACTTCTAGTAAGGAGAAGGATGTCCAAAAAGGAGTTGAGAAGACAAAATTCCTCTGATTTTAGGACTTAGACTGTTAGAGGAGGTCTAACAAGCCGCGCCGTATTAAGAGACATTTTATAAACTGTTACATTAAATTTAAGCATACTACTGTGTAAAAATTCGGAAATAAAGTCGGGCTTTATTATAATAGCTTCTGAACTTGGTGCTATGTCTTCAGAGAATGTGTAGTATGTTAGCACATTATAATCTTACCGACTTATGTTCAAACATAATTTGTAAAAACTTTGAAAAAAATATTATAATATGACTTACTTAACATAAACCCAGTTGAAGATTTTTGGATCATAATTTTTTTTGTAAAAAGTTGGCCAAACAAAATTCGTGCTCGGCTTCGTTGTATTTTCTCTTTCTTCTCGTCAGGTATACCTCAATCTCTGAAAACTAAAGTGTACAACCAGTGCGTGTTGCCAGTGATGACTTACGGATCTGAGACGTGGTCCTTCACTGCTGGCCGTACGAGGACGCTCAAGGTCGCTCAGCGAGCTATGGAGAAGGCTATGCTCGGAGTTTCTCTGCGTGATAAACTCAGAAATGAGGACATCCGCAGTAAAACCAAAGTGACCGACATAGCCCAATGGATTAGTAAGCTGAAGTGGCAATGGGCCGGCCATATAGCTCGAAGAACCGATAACCTGTGATGTAGGGCGACCCCCCCCTAAGTAAGACATACAGGAAGTCGATGGATGCAGGTGGCTCAGGACCGTGCTTTGTGGCATTACTTGGGGGAGGCCTATGTTCAGCAGTGAACTTGGGGCTGTAACTGATGATGATGATGATATACCTATACTACAGATTCTCATAGTTTTGCTTTTGAATCAACTAAGAAATATCACAAGTTCAATGTAATAACTAGATTGTCATCTAAATATGTAGTTACCAATGTATCTTTAGTTACAGTCAGTTAGTTAATGTAAGTTTGTCTTCTTTGTTTTTCCACTCTTAGGGGAAGTTTTTTTTTCTACAAATGTATACAGGAGCGTCCCTAAGGTATAATCTATTATTTTAAAAAGCATCATCAAAATTGGTTCCGAATTGACGAATATATTATGTAACATACCTGCAATAAAATATACGTTCAAATTGAGTACCTACTCCTTTTTACCTTCATCTGCAATTTGATTCTTAATCAACAATTGATGTTGATATCTATGCGTCCATTTATTATAAGGTGGTCAGTGTGCTTGTTATTTCTATAAAATAATTGGTCCTTGTTACATTTATTATGTATATGGCTTGGGACTGATTAACAGCAAAAGCACGATTAAAAAATATCGAACTCAAATCTAAAAGGTTGTTTATGGGATATTGAATCTCCGCAATAACCCTCCTGCCTAAAATGGCGCATGTAGACAACGCTTCTTAGTTATGCATGGCTACTGGCATATCTTGGATCCCACACTCAGAAATAAACTTAAAAATCTGAAGAAGAACGTGGTGTTAAAAAACCTTCACATAATTGGTTGAATGTAAAAACCAAATGTATATAAAACCAGCAAAAAAAATTGATAAAATCTTAAAAATACGAAATTTCTTTTGAAAGACTAGTCTAGACTCACGTTTTCATAAAGACAACAGTGAAAGCTTTATAATATTAATGATTTTAAAACCTTGTGACTAAGGGAAAATCCTTTTATGATAGAATTTTGCCGCATTGTTAATATTCTTCCTTGCGATCGTCGTTCATAAAAGCCATCTTGAAAAAGCGACATGATAAGAAAGAAAATTTTCAACTTTCATAAAAATCTCACAAAAAATAAACTTCCTGATGAAAAAATATAAACTTATTGTTGATTAATTAACTTAGCTTTTAATACAATAAGTTGATGTATTGAAAAATAAACCAATCCTTGTTTTAGTTTTAAATTAGAAAGGATTAACTTGATGAAATAAGTCATCTTTTCGTTCTTCAGTCAGAGGGAGATGTATATATTTCTATAGCTTCTCGATGAATGAGTGGGCAGAACTCTGTCCCCCTCCAAATGCGCTAGCGGCTGTTTTGGTACAACACTCGGGTGACAAACATTTGTAAGGTTAAAATATAATAAAATATAGAATATTGCGTACTAATATCGTAACTTAACATACGTAGTACATTCAACTAAAAAAAAAATATTGTTTTATTAACGCATCAAAATAATAATAATAATAATATATTTATCCTTTCATTTTAATTTATAATTATATATTTATAGAAACCAACCAGATGAGAAAACTATACAGATACACATATAATAATAATAATCACTTATTTAAATAAAAGATTATTATTATTTTATATTAATCTTTTTATATATTTATTCAGCCCAACCAGTTGAGAATACACTACTAATACCCCAAAATAATAATATTTTTTTTATTTCAGATATCCAAGTAATCCATATAATATGTTAGTAAAAAGGAAACTTATAATTTATGTTAGTACCTAAATCTTCTCGTCTTATCAAATAAACAGAGGCGGTAATATTAAAGATATTATTAAAAGATATTTCATTTAAAATAGCAAAATTATTTAAAGTTTAATATAAGCACAAAATAAAAGATTTTAGTTATTAAAAAAATCGATTTAAGTGGAAAAGTATATAAATAAAAATAATCTTTATTGTTTACTTAATACGTCATTCCTAAAAACTTCTACTTTGATCATCACACTATTTTTACTTGTTTAAATAAGTCAACAACAATAATGCAATATATAAGATAAATTTTTAAGCTATTAATATCGTTGTAAAGTACAGTAATAAAAGAATTTAAAAAAACTAATCCTAAAAGCATCATTCCGTGGTTATACTACTCAACTCACACTACAAGTGGGTGTGTTCCGTGTGCACTCACTCACACACTAACACTTGGACCTCTATAGTAAACCTCTTTGGTAGAGCTTAGCTTACGCACACTGCCTCTAACAAACCTATCTGTACAAACACAAGCAGCACTCTCAGTTCCATACAACCTCCTCTACTGCACTCACGCGCAGAAAAAAAGATAACGCGATCTATCGATCTTTTTTCTAACAAAAAAACGTCTGATAGGCTTCATAGCCATAGTCGGATAAGCCTGACGACTACAATCGAACGCGTCGTCTTAACCCGAGACATTTATTTCGATCACAATATTTATGACAGCGTAATTAATTAAACATGTCGTTTTAATTATGTAAATATAAATGGGTGATAATCAATTTAAATTATGTGCCTCGATCTTAGTCCGGTTAATTTAATGTAAATAGATATTTATCATAATTAGTGACGTCTTTACGGTGCTACAGTTTTAACGATAAAACGCTTTAACGTTTCTGTTAAAGAATATTTAGAAGTGTGTCATTAAAATGTTTGGCTTTCGACCTTTGTGTTTTTGATTGGTGGACAAGACTTATTTGATGAGAATATCAACTTGACCGTCATACCATTATGGAACGACACCAAAATGGTATGGATGTGTGGGTAGGTAAGGGTATATAAATAATGTTGCTATTTATTTATGTAACTGTAAAATGTAAAGGAGTTTTGGCGGGAACTTGGCCGTAGACGGATTGTCGCTCCTGTTTTGTCGCTTGACTAATGGTTTCAAGTGGATTTTGATTCGTAAAGCGATGCGATTTTAAGAATTATGTGTCCGCGCGTGTAAACTATTAGAGAAAACGACGAAACAAGTGCTTTGATGTCGATATAAACCTCAAGTTATTTTAATCGCTTGGGCGCCTTATGAACTTGAGTGGCTGTCATCAACTGTCCGCTGGGTTGAGCTGTCATCAAAATCTCCCAAGGGCTTCGCAATGTGCCGCATCAGCATATTGTGAAGAAAAAGAATATAAAAATGACTCAGAAGGGCTAGAACCCAGAGCCGTAAAGCCAGTTAATAAAAGAAATTAAAATGTAAATTTAACTTGGTTCGGAAGTATTTTTTTCTTCATTTATCTCATAAGAATTTGACATAGATATATCTATTAAGATTAATGTAATTATTTTTATATTCCACAAAATTTTAGAGGAGCATGCTTAAGTCCATTACAGTATATTATATTATATTACAATTCCTTACTAACAAGATTAATAAATCAAAAGGCATATACTTCAATTATGATCACATATGCATTACTACTACATTATTATTAATTAAAATGACAGACATTTTTTTCTTCGAAATTTAAAGGTACTTATAAAACAAGTATAAAGTCTTATTTTTAATCACACTTGATGGTCGCAAAGGCTTATTGTTCAGTCTTCCCGCACCAAAATCCAATTTAACTTAAACGTTACCTCCATTTTGCTATAAATGTGATTAGAATAGCAATTATGCTTTCAATAGCATTACATTTTATAAAAAAATGAGTATATACAATTTTCTGTATTTAAATAATCTTATTACAAATACATAATATATAAATTGTAATATATAACTGAACAGAACAGAACATAATAGAATCGTTTTTATTCAATATATATTATTTGTAATACTTATTGAAAGTCGTTCATATACATTATAACCATATAAATAAAGGGTAAGGAAGAGTTTTATGATAAAAATCACATAAGAGGGAATAAGGAGAACCCTAACCTTAAACATTGTTGTATAATTAATAATAATAAGTACAATAATTTATTTTACAAATTTGTCTTATTAAGTATCATGATAATCTCCATCCAGCAGTAAATGAAATGAACTCAAAAGGTAAAATTTTGCCGTTACCGTTACAGCCTATTCAAGTCCACTGCTGAGAATAGGCCTGCCACATAGATTGCCTTATAGGGGATATATTTGCAATAGCTGCCACGCTTGGCAACCGCAGTTTTTATATTTAGTCGTTATTAGGAAGACGCTACTGCCCATCTCCTGATTTGTTGCCCACTGTCCCCTCTTACGAGACCCACGGGATGATATGGTGTAGTGGACATTCGTGCACCGCCACTACACGTCAAATAAATACACGGTAAAAAACTGAAAAAGTATAATTATTTGTATATTTTGTCATATTTTACGAATTTAACCATAAATTTTACCACTATCAAAAATATTTGAACTCATTATTTTATAAATAATAACAATAAAACACTAATTAAACTCTTACGACGAAGCAAATACTAAAATATCCATCAATCATCAGATTACTGAGTACCTAAAACATTATTTAATTGCCTTTGTTCTTTAAGATAACACTTATTTATAATCATACATAATTTAACTTTAAAATCTAAATCTTGTTTAATAAAATTTCCTGAAAATTTAAAATACCTTACGAAGATATGAGTACCTTCACGAGATAACAGTATCGTCTATACATGTTTTTCTTGCTGCTTTAAATAAGAAAATTTAGGTAGATATAAACTGGGTTACTTTTATCGGCTGGAAAAAAGGGTGTAACAGGTGAATGAAATAGGAGCTTATGACACTGATCTTTTACATTATTTTTTATTTTACATTAAAATATTATGAAATTGATCTATCACTATATGCTACTAATTTGAAATAAACTTTAGGTAATAAAAAAATAAAGGCAAAATTTTAGAACTAAATAAATAAATCAATTAAAAACTATCGAAATAAAAATAACACGTACCCAATTAGTAGTATTTAGTGCTAGTAAATCAATTTCATAACATGTATAAAATAAAATGTAAAATATCAGTGCCATATGCTTCGGTTCCATTCACCTGTTATACAAGTTTTTTTTTCAGATGGTAAAAAATCGTCCTTTCATAAAATCATCAGTTGATCTATTGAAACTTTTTATTAAATAAAGACTGTGCAAAGGTATTGTGTTAATTAATATATGGTTGCTAATAAACTTCGTAATGAGATAATTACTATTATTTTATAATTTTTTCTAAAATATATTTTTCTTATCAATTGTGTAAAATCTTTTTCAAATCAATTTTCTTAATAATTTCTAATCTGTATTAAAACAAAGTCGATCTATTCTATTGGTTATATTTCTACGTAACATTATAGTGTTTTTGTACTGAATTAGGACAGGGTCGCGTAAACCAGCTTGGCGGTTTATTCATCAACGGGCGGCCACTTCCAAACCACATCAGACTGAAAATTGTGGAAATGGCAGCAGCAGGGGTTCGACCATGCGTAATATCTCGGCAACTTCGAGTGTCCCACGGCTGCGTCTCCAAAATACTAAATAGGTACCAGGTGAGATGTTTCAGATTTGCCATAATATAGCTATATCGTAGCAAGAATAAAATAACTAAAGTTGTTTTTACTTAATTTGCTTATTTCCGCGTAATTAAATAAAATTATGTATCCTGCCCAATTTGAAGATCACCTCCCATTGGCCATTAAATTCGTGCACCATCCCCGTTACCACCTAATCCAGGGACACCACTCCCAGCACTACCACTCTCAACACCACTACACTAGGAACGACATACCACCCTAGATAATACGACACGTGTTTCGCTTCTACACGAGGCATCCTGAGGTGAAGTAGACTCTGCTGCTGTCACCGCTAACACACTAATACTCTCATAAAATAGCAGCACCTTAATACTCGCATGAAGATTAATGAGACATTTTAGTAATTAGGAGTTTAAATACATGTTTTCTATATGTGTTTCGGTTACTTTAATAACAATAGAACAAATTTTCGTCATATGCCTTTCACGTAAGGAAAAAAATCGACATAATTTAATTAAGGGGACTACAGGAGCTAAACGCATGTTTTATAATGTCTCAAGATATATGATCCACTGCAGTAAACAAAACCAAAAAAATATATGATACTTTTTTTGGATATATGCTAGTTAGGTACTGTGTTGAAAACATGATACTACTATTTTGATACGATAGAAAAAAAAATCACAAAGATACCTTTTAAAATTCCTTTTAACGCAATGTAAAAACCATATTAATATACATGCAATCATTCTGATTTTTTGTCAGATTTTTATACAAGCTACATATTAACTTACTATTGTTTTAATTTTTAGTCCAATTAATTGATTCTTTTTCAATCGCATATTCTAATTTCTGAAATAATACGTACGGGTGTGTAAAATACTTATACGTAATACTGCACCCACCTATTATGAGGTTGACTGTGTTCGTTTTTACTCATAAAATATTATAAATATAAACATTATAACAATATAAAGGTGTTGAGATTGGTTTTAATTATAAGATAATTAGGTAGGAACGTCAATCTTCCAGCGCCTTCTCCTGACAACTTGTGAAACAATCGCCATTGATTTTCTGCGCGGCGAAGCCTGAAGGTTTGTTTTCACCAATACTCTTATGTACCTACGTGCCACAATAATGGTGATTGTTTCGCCCAGGAAACGTTTATTTACGCTCCATGTGCCCTGTTGCGACCTCCACTAACCCATTAACATTCATTGACGAAGTAATAGTGTTGCTTCAAATATATGTATGTCGTTTATGGGTACCATGATTACTTCCGCCTTGAAATAACTTTCCGTTTTTTTACAAGTCATGAAATTCAGATTATAGAAATTAAAATTCGTATTTTATTATTTTTTCATACAATTTTGCTCACATATTTGTATTTGCACAAACATAACAACGTGGTAGAGTCACATGCCAGTAGCTAATTGCAGCACGAATCGATCGACTCGATCGGGAAGGACGCACCTTCACAGAATACCGGCGAAGAATAGCAGCTTTAAACTGATGTGCTCTCATAACAACTGTAAAGAACCGAAGATCCTTTTTACTAATTACGAGGTATTCAATCTTTGTCCTCAGGGGTGACAACGCATCTATGTTTTGATTTTTAATCGAGATTAGATGGGCCACAGCATATACCCACCATCAGATGGACTGTAAAAATGAAAACCTTCTCTAAAGTTCTGTTGTAAATCATTGAAAAACTCATACTATCATTGGCTGAAAAGTTAATACGGGCATGGTCCTTTATGAACTATCGTTTACACTCCACCTTGTTTAAGTGGTAGAGCCAAGCCGTTACAGAATACTAACATTATACAGAACACATCAAACAGCAACAAAAGAGCATTCCTTACAAATATCATCATCATCATCATCATTACAACCCTTCACAAGTCCACTGCTGAACATAGGCCTCCCTCAAGTAATGCCACAAAGCACGGTCCTAAGCCACCTGCGTCCATCGACTTCCTGCATGTCTTACCAGGTCGTCACTCCATCTAGTGGAGGGTCGTCCTACACTACGCCTACCGGTACGAGGCTGCCACTCGAGAACCTTTCTTCCCCATCGGTTATCGATTCTTCGAGCTATATGGCCGGCCCGTTGCTACTTCAGCTTACTAATCCGTTGGGCTATGTCGGTCACTCTGGTTTTACTGCGGATATCCTCATTTCTGAGTCTATCACGCAGAGAAACTCCGAGCATAGCCCTCTCCATAGCGCGCTGAGCGACCTTGAGCGTCCTCATACGGCCAGCAGTGAAGGACCACGTCTCTGATCCGTAAGTCATCACTGGCAACACGCACTGGTTGTACACTTTAGTTTTCAGAGATTGAGGTATACCTGACGATAAGATGTGTCGTAATACAAATATAGTGATATAAAAATATGAATGATAAAAACAAGAGAGTTTTTTTACTGTTTGTGTGTTGTTTTTTTTTTTTGTACCGAATTTACTGTTAATTCTCAAGGTTGACAATGCATCTGAAAATTGTAGATTGTTGTAGAGCCATGCTGCAGTTATATTAGTAGTATAGTTGTAGCACGAATGGGTCGGCTCGACCGGGGAAGGACCATGCTCTCACAGAATGCCTGCGTAAAATAACAGCTTAACGCTGCTGTGTTCCGTGAGTGTAGAGAACCGGAGACCCATTTTACTGGAAACGAGGCATTCCGTCTTAGACCTCACGGGTGACAATGCATCTGCATATTGAGTCATAGACGAGGATAGATGTAGATGTCTATGGGCCACAGCAACCACTTACCATCAGGTGGACTGTGTGTTCGTTTGTCACCCTTATCCTACAAAAAAATGACTTTTCTAAGACTGACTAGCTCTTGTCCAGCACAGATCAAAAAGTAGCTAAACACGAAGTCTTGAGTTTTATGTAACCTTAGAGAATATTTTATTTCTTCTCTTATCTCCAGTCTCCTTTTCTTCTCCTCTCCTCCTTTTTTCTTGTCTTATCTTAATTACAGTGCTGAACATAGGCCTCCCACACAGATTGCCTTATAAAAGGGATTTCGCCATAGTTGCCACGCGTGACAGGCGGGTTGGCAACAGAAACTGTTGCCCATCAAATCCACTGTTCCGAGTTTCCTCTGTTGTCATTTACGACATCCACGGCATAGTATGGACTAGAGTATTATTCTTACGCCGCCACTATACAGCTACAGAAACTACTCTAAATTGAGTGTCTCGAGAAATGTCAAGAATTTAGTTTAGCAAATAAATTTACCTCAAAACTGGTGAGTAATTTCACAAATTTGTTCAGTGAGTTGAAAGGCCTTTATCAAAGTCAAAGGCAGCCACTTCAAAGTAAAGTATTTTTAATTAAATTATTTCTAATATTTACTTACTGAAATACTCATTAAATAAAAGTTATTTTTTATCGGATTTGAACTTATTTTGTATTCTCCATCTTTAGAAGAGTAACTTGCAATGCCCTAGGCCTGTAAAAAAAATTTCTTAAAAATAAGTTTTGTTCAATTTATTTATTGTTAAAACTTTCGTAAATATGCACATATAACTTTTACCAAAGTAGGGTTTTCCTATACATAAGTCTGTTACGCAATTTTCATCGTCAATCAATAATCAATAGTTTATACAAAACTTATTTAAAATATCCCTTAATATGTGGTATCGTTCCTTCTGTGCATACCAGCCTATTTCCGCCGCTGAATAGCAATGCCTGCTCTACTGTGTTTCAGTCTGAAGGGTAAACACAGCTAGTATAATTACTAGCTGTGAGCCATTCCATCTTAATCCTCAGAGGTAACAACGCATCTGTAGTCTTCTTTGCTTGAAGGTGATTGCAGGCTGATCTATGGGCTCCAATAGACACTAACCAGTAGTTCACTCACAGATGAATTGTAAGTTCGTTATTTTAACGGGCAAGGTAAATTATTTTCTATATATTATATACTACCACTAAAGAAATGAAACAATAAAACCTTATGTACCGAATTTTGGATATCCATAGATGATATGAAATTACTCCATTTATTTCGTCAGCATAACGTAAAACTATGCCATTATTATCTCTCCTGGTATACATTTCGCAGTATCAATCATCTTCAGTTAATGCAGTCCGTTACATTCTGACGTTGGTTTTAAGATCATTTTGAAACTTCCTTTTATTGGGTGCGTTTGGCAGAAAAAAGCGCTAGCAAGCGCCTATAAGCGCTGAAATAGTTTTCGGCCAGGACACGATTGCTACTTCAGTAGCGCTGACACAATCCGCCATTTTGCTTATTTAATTTGTTTGTTTTGAAGTAGAGTTTATAAGTTGTTTTGTGCTATATTAGTTTTAAGTAATATAATGACATGAATAAACATATACATGTTATTAAAAATTCATGATTGGTAAGTTTTTAATATGAATACTTTACAAACATATATTTAAATTAGGTTAGGTTCCCCGGTTAAAACTAACATCGTGTCCTGGAGAAAAATAGCTACTTACGATTTGACAGCGCTTACCGCTTACGATCGCCATTTTGCTTACAAGGGCTTGCTAGCGCTTTTTTCTGCCAAACGCACCCATTGGCTACTACTACTACTTCACGCGGGTGATTTCTGGATGTCGACAGCAGCACTACCTACCGGGTCCAATTGTGAATTTTAACCATCCGGAAACCTTGAGTGAGCTTCTGACACACTTCGTCAACATCAGTCGAACCATTTTCGAGTTTTAGCGAAATTAACAGACATTAATTGATTTTTATATATAGAGATTTATATATATATTCCTTTATATCGTGAACTTATATGTTTACGGTAAACTCTTTCTTTCTATTGATAAGTGGCTACTAAAGTCTCTCTCTCTGGCTCGTTGGTCCTGTGGCTGTAAACACGACTGCAAATTATGAGATCCCGGGTTCGAATTCCGGGCCGGACCAAAAAAAATCAGTTATTGACTTTTTCCGTTAAAAAATTCTCAGAAGCTAAAAAGCCATTGGTCCTGTGTCTGATCTCTCTCCGGTCATGTCGGATCACCGTCCCATCGGATGATGAGAGTAAAGGAATGGAGAGTGGGCCGGTGGTTGCACATTACACTCGGGCACTATAATCATCCCCCGCGCAGATGGCCGCCGAGATCGAAATTCAGTCTGGAGGACATTATAGTCTATAAATACCAGCAAACAAATTCTAAAAAAGAAGGCCACATGTGTATTTGCAGCCCTTGAGGACTAAAATGAAATGCCTACTGAGAACCAGTATAAATACAGGCTGTAGCCTGTAATTATACTGGTTATCGTACCCTTTAAACTAATAATTCGGTCGCCAGCAGAAATGAAAAGTTGTGTAATGAACCCATTAGTGTGATAATAACGTAGACAGACAAAAACTTTATATTATATAAAGGTCCACAGTTGTAAAGGTCTCTTTCACGTTGAATATTTTACATACGTGACACTTCTAAGACGTTTCGCGCACTAAGCAGACCCAAGCACAATAAATACAAGTGCAGCCTAGAAGACAGGTGACAACCTTTCCTTCTATGTATGTCCTACTCTGTACATCGAACTGAGTAGTATGTTGGAGAATGTACTAGATCGTTAAGTAATTAAGTACTCATCATGATCATTATCGTTACAGTCCAAACATATGCCTGCCACCTATCCATCAACGTTCTGCATCTCTTACCAGATCGTCATTCCATCCAATGAGGGGCTGGCCTACACTTCCATTGACAGTACGTTGTTGCCATTAGAGAACCCTTCTTCCCCATCGATTTTCGGTTCTCTAAATATTTATTCCGCGACTTTTGTATGAAACAAACCAAATCAATCAATCAACCTTTAACAGACTTATTAATCAGCAACAGTTAACGCAAACATAATACATTATGCCGTCATTAACTATGTCATCAATATTATATACATATTTATGGGAGAATTTCACACATACTTTAATAATTTTAATATTCCCACAATTTTAACTACATCGCACTTTCAGATGGTTTATAGACTACAGGTTGTTTTAAAAAGGTCCAATATCTTCTTTTTGCTTAGGAGACGGGGTCAATCAGACCAGGCGTTATTGGCGGATCGAAACCAAGGGTAGCAACTCCTGAAGTGGAAGCAAGGATTGAAGAGCTAAAGCGACAAAATCCAGGGATATTCTCGTGGGAAATAAGAGAGAAATTAATTAAGGTACCAGTATCTTAAAAAAACACTAATTATTTTTTATAATTTTTAAATATTAATGAGCAATGTTTTGTCAAGTGGTAGAGTCACGTTACAATTTAATAGTGCAACATATAACGTTGTATACGCTTGATTTTTGCAGTAGTATTCATACTCCGTGATTAAAATTTGGAAGAGAATGCAACTTTTTTAAAAAAAACGTTACCTCCACAATAGGATTTTCTCCTCTCTCTGGACAGTTTACATATATAAATTTCACAAGGACAAACATTCAGACCCGAAAAAATTATTTGTAGGCCATAGAACTAATAACTATATATTTCAATTCATTTTCGATTGCATACTATGCAACGAAAATATGTGATAATATGTAGAACCACTCTACATCTGAATTACGTGATCTACTATTGGTAGAGGCATGCCGCAGCTATATTATGGTTGCAGCACGAATGGATCGGTTCGACCGCGGAAGGACCAGGCTCTCACAGAATACCAGTGTAAAACAGTAACTTAAGTGTGTCGTTAGTGTTTCGTATGGTGAGTGTAGAGAACCGTAAACCCTTTTTACTGGAAACGAGGCTTACCATACCATTTACCATCAGGTAGACTATGTGCTCGTTTGTCAACCTATCCTATAAAAAAAATCTACACTTCTACGGAAGAATTTTAAAGAAGTTCTGTGTTACAGCTCACGTTTTAGTTTTGATTATGATCTTTTAGTCATGCCCTTAAGTTGAACGGGTATTTTCGTTCATCCTGACCAAAATACACTAATCATTTTCCTTTAAAAAATTAATTTGCAATGCTTTTTAATATTAGTAATATTCCCTTTAACCACAGTAAGGAGTTTGAAGAATTTCTGTGTTACAGCTCACGGTTTAGTTCTGATTATGATCACGTCAGTCAGTCACGCCCTTAAGTTGAACTGGTACTTTCGTTCATCCTGACCAAAATACACTAATTATTTTCCTTGAAAACTATATTTGGGATGCTTTTATATTAGTAATATTCCCTTTAACCACATTAAGATTGATTAAAGATGTTTGCGTCCTTAGATTCACACCAGTAACGATGAATTCGAGCTAACGACTTTCAAGGTCACGGTCTGCACACTAACCATCGGACTACTGTTGCCTAATGGTACTCGGGCAAATAATTGGATAAACTCGAGCACTAAGATATCTGTCCGTTAATAAAAGAAATCACTATCAAACCTTTGTAGGTACATCATAAGAAAATTCGCAAAAATGTTATATGAAAAATGATACAATATAATACTTATAGAACGTAACAATGTAGTCCTAGCAACTACTCGAAGTATTAATATTAACTTCCATATTTATATTTACATTTACCCAAGTCTCGAAGACTCATCTCGATTATGAATTTTTGACATACATATATCATACGTAATCGTTAAACAGTTATAAGGATCAAAAATACTGGTAATATTAGTTGTTTATCCCTTCACTTTTACATAACTTTCGTGTAAGGTCAATATTTTCTTAATAAAAAAGATCCAAAATATGCTCAACCCAAACTTGACCCAAACTTGATACAATGATGCAGAACAGCATTCCCAGCATGAAGGTGGCTAGTACCGCTTTCACCAACCCGCCTGCTCAGGGTAGTGGTTTTAGGCAAACCACCCAAGAAACACATGCCAGCTGGCATATTCTTGGATATGTATTTTCCAGCAGTGACCTTGAAACAAGCCGGTAATAATGGTGATTATTTGTCGTACATACATAAATTGTCACGCCTTCCAATTGACATAATACTGACACCCCTCCCTTACTTAATTTACATCCAAATTTCTACGCATACATGTTTTTCGGTTAAGGTGGACCATTTTGACAGTGGTAGAGCCACGCGGCAGCTTTGCTGTCGCACGTATGGGCCGGCTCAAACCGGGGTGGTACCACGACCTCACAGAATACCGGCGTGAAGTGGAAGCTCTGCTTCCGCGTTTCGTCTGGTGAGTGCAGGTGGCCGGAGGCCCAAATCCCCCCCCCCCATCAACATGGTAGCGGAATTAAATGATAGACTACCCCAGGAGGGTACCAGCACCCCTGGAGAATCCCTCGCTGAGCATCCACGACCATGTTTCTCCACTTCTGAGCGTGGGTGCTCAGGCTGCCCCGCGTATTCTGGGGGGGGGGCAATATTCCGCTCAAGACTAAAACTGCTCGGGGCAAACGGAGCAGCAAGACCAAGGCGACCCCTGCCACGCTGTCCGTGAATTTCTGCAATATCAGGGGACTTCACTCTAACCTAAACGCCGTCCACTACCATCTCGAGACGGCGAGGCCGGCTCTGCTCTTTCTGACCGAGACGCAGGTGTCCTCTCCGGCTGATGTCTCGTATCTCTCCTGCCCGGGGTACAAACTAGAACACTCCTTTGTGCCTCGGGCTGGAGTTTGCGTTTACGTCAGAGAGGACATCTGTTCTCGACGCCTCGGCAGACTTGAAGGTTCGGACCTGTCCATCCTTTGGCTACGCGTAGACAGCGACGACCATCCGCGCGTCTACGGGTGCCTCTATAGGTCCCATAGCGGTAATGCCGAAACAGACCGACTCTTCGACCACGTCCAAATGGCTGCAGATTCGTTGCTACAGCAGATCCCCTCCGCAGAGATCGTGATCCTCGGCGACTTTAACGCCCATCACGCCGAATGGCTCGGTTTACGTTTAACCGATCATGCGGGGAGATCTGTTCATGATTTTGCCTTGGCATATGGTCTGACACAACTGGTTACTTCGCCTACGCGGATTCCAGATGTGGAGGATCATGCACCTTCCCTGTTGGACCTTCTGCTGACCTCTCACCCGGACGGATATCAGATTTCCGTTGACGCCCCTTTAGGCTCCTCGGACCATTGTCTTGTCCGGAGTGTGGTGCCACTCACGCTGAAATCGCGGTTGCATTCTGCAGGCTGCCGCCGTGTTTGGCACTATAGGTCAGCCGATTGGGATGGGATGCGGTCTTTCTTTGCATCCTACCCTTGGGGGCGGGTTTGCTTCTCGCCGGATGATCCCAACGTTGTTGCGGATTCTGTCGCTGATGTGGTACTTCAGGGTATGGAACTTTTTATTCCTTCCTCTGTGGTGCCCATTGGAGGCAAATCTCAGCCATGGTTTGGTCGCTCCTGTAAAATAGCATCATGCTATAAGCAGGAGTGCTACCGAGCCTGGGCTGACGCATCAGCGTCCAGGGATGTAAACACCAGCGCTCTAAAAAAGAAGTATAATTCCGCCTCTAGGTCCTTCAAAAGATTCATTGCCAAGGCAAAGTCAGAGCACATAGGCAGAATTGGCGAGAGACTAGTTCGTCTTCCTTCTGGAACCCGTGCATTCTGGTCTCTCGCCAAGGCTGTCCAAGGGAATTTCTGTCAGCCATCTCTTCCATCTCTGCACAGGGAGGACGACTCACTGGCCCACACCTCAAAGGAGAAAGCCGATCTTCTAGGCGCGTTCTTTGCGTCTAACTCGACTCTCGATGACGGGGGGAGTACGCCGCCGACCATCCCGCGGTGTGAGTGCTCCATGCCGGAAGTGCAGTTCACTCAGCGCTCGGTTCGCAAAGCACTCCTCTCCCTGGACATCCATAAGTCGAGTGGGCCTGATGGAATCCCCCCAATTGTGCTGAGGACGTGTGCTCCAGAGTTGGCACCGGTTTTAACGCGTCTTTTCCGGTACTCCTACTCCCTAGGCGTAGTCCCAAAATCATGGAAGACGGCTTTCGTCCACCCGATCCCTAAAAAAGGCGACCGCTCAGACCCGTCCAACTACCGGCCTATCGCCATCACCTCCTTGTTCTCCAAAACAATGGAGTCCATTGTAAACTGCCAGCTGATGAGGTACCTTGAGGATCACCAGCTGATTAGTGACCGCCAATACGGTTTTCGCCGTGGTAGGTCAGCTGGTGATCTTCTGGTCTACCTAACTCACAGATGGGCGGAGGCAGTAGAGTCCAAGGGGGGAGGCATTGGCCGTTAGTTTGGACATTGCGAAGGCCTTCGATCGGGTTTGGCACAAAGCGCTTCTTTCGAAGCTCCCTTCCTATGGGCTTCCCGAGAAATTGTGCGATTGGATCACCAGTTTTCTTGCAGATCGGAGCATCAAGGTTGTTGTAGACGGTGCAAGCTCCGATTGCAAGCTTATTAATGCTGGTGTTCCACAGGGCTGCGTGCTATCGCCAACGCTGTTTCTTCTGCATATCAATGATATGTTGCAAACCCGTAGCATTCATTGCTATGCAGATGACAGCACTGGTGATGCTCTTTACACCGGCCGAGCCAATATTTCTCGGGAAAACGTCTCTGAGTGCCGGGACAAACTTGTGTCTGAAGTCGAGTCTCTGCTGGACAGAGTCTCGGATTGGGGGCGACTAAATCTAGTCCAGTTTAACCCCCAGAAGACACAAGTTTGCGCGTTAACCGCTAAAAAGAACCCCTTTGTCGTATCCCCTCAGTTTCAAGGCACTCCCCTTGTTGCCTCAGCCAGTATCGGAATCCTCGGCGTCGACATATCGAGTGACGTGCAGTTTCGTGGTCACTTGGAAGGGAAGGCCAAATTGGCCTCTAAAAAGCTTGGCGTGCTCAGCAGAGCGGGACAGTATTTCATGCCGGCACACCGCCTGCAACTTTACAAGGCGCAGGTTCGGCCGCTCATGGAATACTGTTCCCATCTCTGGGCTGGGGCTCCCCAGTACCAGCTCCTTCCACTTGACCGCATCCAGCGCAGAGCGGCTCGAATCGTTGACGACCGAGTGCTTTCCGATCGGCTCGATTCACTGGCGCTGCGAAGAGATGTTGCATCTCTTTGCGTATTTTATCGCATCTATCACGGGGAGTGCTCTGAGGAATTGTTCGGATTAATCCCAGCCGCCAAATTTCGTGAACGCACTACACGGCAAACGTCCCGATACCATCCACACCATCTGGATGCTTGGCGGTCCACCACTGTACGTTTCAAAAGGAGTTTTCTTCCGCGTACAACCTCTCTGTGGAATAATTTACCACCGGTGATTTTTCCGGACCGATACGACCTGGGGACCTTCAAGAAAAGAGCTTACTCCTTTCTAAAGGGCCGGCAACGCACCTGCAATTCCCCTGGTGTTGCGGTTGAACATGGGCGGCGGTAGTCACTTAACATCAGGTGAGCCACATGCTCGTTTGCCCCCTCTTCTATAAAAAAAAAAAAAAAAAAAAAATTTTGGTCGATAAACTTCCACTATAGCATTTCTTACCAAATCTGCCATCCACTTCTAAAGCATAAACTAGTTTTGACACTTTTTTCATAATTAATTCACTATTTGTCGTTTAGTCCATAAATGATTACAAAATCTTTATTTTATAAATATTGTTCTCATTATTTCACTCTTACCCTTGAGCTTGATGTGATGAATGGTGAAATTGAAGTCGTCTGTAAACTAAAGATGATTTATTACAGAAAAGATATTAGCTAAGTTCACGCTCCGTCGATATTCGACGCGGTCATTGCGGTTGCCAATTTGTGAAACTTGGTTATGAAACTTTCGGTATAAGAACACAACTATGATATTTATCCCAATTAACTATTTAAACTAGATCCGTTTGAAACAAAAACTTATGGCATGTCTTTGCCGTGTAATGCCGAAGACTATTTGTCAATTTAGTTTGCCTCTTGGATTTCGTAAAAGGCGACCAAGGACTAAAAACACTCAACAACCAAATCATAGCCTCCGATCAATGACGCCACACCATCTCATATATGGCAGATTTAAAATAGCCAAACTGGTGACGGAGAATAGCAGCAAAGGGGCAAAATATGTAATCACCATCTTCTATCATCTATTATCAAAGAGACTGATATCGCCAATCTTGCCAAGCATGGTATTCTAATATAAATACATTAGAATACCATTCACAAAAATGAAAAAGAGACAAAAAAGAAAGATGAAGTATATTTTGTCAATTACCAGTGCTTTATTTTCTTTTTCTTTCATATTTAGGTTCCTTAGCAGTCCCAGATAAATAAATTTTCAAAGTAATATGTATTTTTGCAACACTATACTTGCAATTTCTGCGGGTGTATTAACGATCAAAGCATAACATCAACCACGCTAGCATAATTCTTAAGTGTTTTAGTTTTTCATTTTGATTTTTTCATAGAAGTAAGATTGAGGGTGCCAAACGAATATAAAATCCGCTGAATGGTAAATGGTTACTGTGACCTATATTCTGTTGCGTGGCTGTACCATTGGCAATGGAGTAAATATTTTAATATACGATTTTATATACGGTGGACCGCGTATTATCGCTCTTTAATAATTACATAGTTCTATTAATTTTTAATATCGTTTAGTAATGAAAAAAAATATAGAAGAAATGAGGAAATTTTTAAAATAGTTTTTACATAAAATAAAATCCATGTACATAAACATATACAACCAATAAATGTAAGAGGTAGCTTAGGGGCTAAACGCTCTCCTTAAATTATACTGTACGCGAGCATTCCAGGTTAGGTGGTGAAGAAATACATAAGAAAATCTGCTTATATTAAAAAAATTAAAAATTATATATACCAATCAACAATAATTTATGCATTAACAACTTTATAGCAACACGGTAAACATTTCCTTTATTTTTTACACCCAGAAGCAAAATAAAGGGCTACCCTCCGGGAAGCGGGGGAGGGAGGTGGTCAATGCTCTAAGCATTAACACGCAGCCGGCTGCGTGGTTATGTGGGGCTCACTGAGAAACCTCAGTGCCTATCTAGTAAACACCACCTGAGACTGGCTTTGACCTGATAAGGTCTTTCAGCAGTATCGGAAGCAACCCCCCTTGGGGAAAGGGGGGAAGTGGGACGTACGTAGGCTCTAATTTTACATACTCTAATGCCCAAATACTCAAACGCTATTCAATTTTAAGCTGCCGTTAACTCTCGAGGTGTCACATTCACATTAACTCAAAGTGATAGAACTATTATTTTATTTTAATACTTTTCTGGTGTTATTTTAAATATATTTCTATTCATGCGTCCATTACAGCCTATAAAAGTCCACTGCTAAACATAGGCCTCCCCTATACATTGCCTCGTAGAGGATATTTTGCCATATTTGCAACGGTTGACAGGCGGGTTGAGAAAAATCTCTTTCTATTGTATAATTTAATTTTCAATTTTTTTATTTATATTTTTTAATATCATTTAATTTATCTGAATCATTACTCGAATTTGCTAGTTTTTAAATTAAATAAACGATGCCAAATTTACTCAAGTTTTTTTTTTTTGTTGTTAAGATGCACTCTAAAATGAATTTAGCCATGTCGTTTTTTACTTTCAGGAGGGCGTAACGGACCCACCAAGTATATCTTCGATTTCACGATTGCTACGTGGAGGCTCTAGAGATCCAGATGGAAAGAAAGACTATAGTATTGACGGAATTCTTGGAGGTAAGTTTTAGAAAACAATGTTCTAATAATATTAACTTTTACATCAACTTTTAATTCCATTATCAATCCATCCACGTCTGCCTATAAAAAGTAAAGTCCACTGTTGAACTTAGAAGGCCCTTTAGATCACCTTATGAAGGGGATATCTACCATAATGGCCACGTTGTTGGCAACCGGAATGGTGCTAATAATTTCCTGTTTAATTTTAACTATGTAACCTCTTACGACATCTTTTCTACGTGGTAGAGCCACGCTACAGGTATATTATGGTTGTAGGATGAAAGGGTCGGCTCGATCGGGTTAGGATCACACCCTCACAAAATACCAGCGTAAAATAGGAGCTCATTGTGTTTCGTAAAGTGAGTGTAGAGAACCGGAGACCCTTTTACAGGATAGCAGACATGTTATCTTAGTGCTCAGGGGTGACAACGCATCTGCATTTAAATTCTTAATCGAGGATAGCTGTAGATGTCCATGGGGCACAATATCCATTAACGATTAGGTGGACTGTGTGCCCGCTTGTAACCCTTATACTATAAAAAAACCTACTGGATGATATAATACAGTAGATCCTCTTACGACGCCACTACTTGGCGTACTAATTAATTAGATATGGATACTTATTAACTTTAACTATAGCATTTTTTTAAACTACTGTAAAATGTTAGGTAAGGCCGGAATTATAATAAAAGTATGAATGTAAACAAAATGTAGTAATAGGGTATAAACGAAACGGAAAGTCAACAGCAGTTTGTACTCCGTCAGTAGTCTTACAAGAGAAGTAAAAATCGAGCTTGACGGTGAAGAAAAATAATAGGAGGAAATCTGAATGTCTAAGATATTAAAAAGAAAAATCTATCAAAGACATATTAAGTTCGGCAGCACTCATTGGGCGGACACTTCCTTGCTTTAAAACCCATCAGAAATAAAAGGAGGCCTGTGCCCCGCCACGTATATAGGCTGTAAGTTTATTTTAGTTCTGTGCTGGGACAGCGGCTTTCTTTCCCAGTAGTGAAAGCTCATTTGTGTTATCGTGTACTTCTATGTGTCCCATCTAACATATGTAATGTATGTATTTAGTAGTTGTTTAGATACTATATTTTTATTTATTTTTTATAAATGCCATTTTCAACCTGCTTTAATCTTCATAGATATATCTATCTCTAATAGTCTAAGAATCGACAGCACAATTTTTTTAATAATAATAATAATAATAATAATAATAATTTATTAAAAACTTTAACTTGTAGTACATATAAAAAAAATCTTACATGAGATACATTACAAAAATACTAGTGAGGGTGACGTTCTGTTCTCCTTGCTAGACTAAGAAATAGCCTGTATTAAGGAGATTCAGTCCCTTACCCCCCTTACAAAAGTGATCAGAAAGCAAAATTTGCTCTTAACTTTTTAGTACTACAGATTTTGTGTGTGTGTGTGTGTGTGTGTGTGTGTGTGTGTGTGTGTGTATGTGCGAGTATTGTGTGTGTGTGTGTGTGTGTGTGTGTGTGTGTGTGAAAGAGAGAGTGCGTGTGTGTGTGCGTCATTACAATTACTACGTTCATTAAGTTTTTAATCAAAACCTAATTTTAATATGTAATTATAAGTAGGAAAATATATTTTTACTAGGAGAATATACGTCATAAACGTATAACTGTAACAAAGTATTTACACCTGGCTGCGGAGAGGTTGCGGCCAAGTGCGTTACTGCAACCAAACCTTTCTAAGTTCTTTACATATATTCCTGTGAAGTGGTATATAATTTATTTAAAAAACAAGTGAAGGAATTTTTGTCGTAAACATGAATTAATATTATTTTAATTAAAAATACTTGCAGCTACATTTTGACAGGCAAAAATAGTTATACCCACTTATAATTATTATAGATATAAAAACTACATGGACATGGTAATCTTGCAGCCAGATCCCGTACTATACCTAATCTCTCTAGATTTTCTGATACATAAATACTTCACCAACATATTTGATTCAATAATTAAATATTTGACGATTCCGTGGCTTATTAGACTAGTATTGATTTGCGATGTTAAATGCCGCGAGGTCAAATTCCACACAAAATAATTCTTCCAGGTTTGGATGTTTGTCCTTGCGTAATTTATGTATATAAACTATCTCTCTAGTCGTTTATAGAACAATTTAACTTATAAATTCTTACAAAGTTCCATAAGGAAAGGTTTAAAAACTAAACATAAAGGCAAAATATTCTGCAGTTTACATACATCCCCAAAGTATACAGGTTCACACAAACAAATCTGCCCTGATGTTGCACAATAACTTCCCGGACTTAACAAAAACTCATTTTGCAATAGCGGCAACCTGCAAAGCATTCTCACGAGAGCGCTCAAAAAATCAATTTCCGCACACAAATCTTACTTCGTCATTGTTGCTATTTGAAATATTAGAGTTTGTTCTTGAGGCGTTAAAGGGCGGCTGGCGTTTGCGAAGCGTTTTATAAATGTAACCGACAAAGTGCGCCGCGGTCACCCGTCGCGCCTCTTCATAGTGCTGAAAACACGAACAATTGACGTAAGACGTAACATGTTTTGGCTGTTCCATTATCGTTGGTCATATATTTTGTCGCCAAGTTGGTTACACTTTGCATTCGAGCGACGTGTGTCTATTGTATCAACGGCACATCCGACTTTGATTTGTCCGAACAAGTACTTATTTTCACAAACATGGTTTTGTTTAGTATCCACCTTGTTGTGCTTCAACCCATTGGCAATATTTATGACTGGAACAGACCCATATAGAATAACCCTTTGATTACTAAAGAAAAATCCACATTTTAATAATTATTATATCAAAAAATATTAATTCATATACTATATATATATATACACTAAATCTTGGAACCAAACCTAATCCTGGGCTTGAATTTTGCGCTGGCCTTAAAATTTCATACCAGCTAGTCTGCCAGCAAAACGAGTTCGCGTACCAGCGTCGCTGAAATTGTTAATTGCAATTTTATGTGCTGATTTAACTCGTGTTGAACGGTGAACATAGAATATACACACTTTACTGTATAAAAATAAAAAATATGTACAAGTGCATCGTTTGCTCAAAATATTAAATGATCGATAGTTTTTATCGATTGCTTTGAAATTTTGAACACTACATTCGATTACGGGCGAGTTTCTATTCGCCCACCAACGTGTGTTTAGTTTCGGTTGCTGCTAGTTATAAATATTTTTTTAAATATGACGCCAGAAAAGAGAATGAGCCGTTTACAGAATTATCTCACAATTTTACCATACCATACAATATACAGTAAAGCGAGCAAGAATTTAGCATTTGCTTAGAAATGCACTCTTTACAAGAAAAACTCATTACGAAAAAATCATAACGAAGTATTACAGTAATTTCAAGTTTTATACATTGTATTTCTACTATTTATTTCATCGCAGATTATTTAAATATGTAACTGCAAATTACAGAACTTGTAAACTCATATTTTAAGCATTATGTATGAAGTGATGTCGCATCGTAAATGCCATCAAGATAAAACAAGCGATCCACTTTCACATCACATCTGAACAATACAAAAAGAGCTAGCGATAAAATCTCACATTTGTTTAATAACATCGCTCGTTAGAATCAACTAATGTAATGCCGTAGAGCCACAGATGGACTATTACAAAGAACCTCCGGGTAGATAACGCAATTGACGGCAACACTACTTAAGATTTGTAAAAAAACGTTAGGCGGTTGTTTTCAATATTCCGTATATTGTGGTTTAAGAAATTTATTTCTCATAAGAATAGAACATTCATTTGTCTGAGAAACACAAGATTGACTTATAATAGATAAATATATTTACATCTAAATAAGTGATCATTGAGTAATCATTATTTTAAGAACATTGGCTGCGTTTGGCAGAAAAAAGCGCTAGGAAGCGTTTGTAAGCAAAATGGCGAAACTAGACAGTTTTCAGCCAGGACACGTTTGCTAACTTCGGTAGCGCTGACACAATCCGCCATTTTGCTTATTTATTTTGTTTGTTTTGAAGTAGAGTTTATAAGTTGTTTTGTGTAATTAGTTTCAACGAATATAATGACATGAATAAACTATTATACAGTTATTAAAATTTATGGGTGTTTTAAATATTACAAAAAATATAAGCGTTGAAGTCTGAAGAAAAAATGACACGCCCACGCCGCCCTTTGCTTACCTCGCTGCGCTTTTTTTTCCAAACCCCCCCCATTAAAATAATTTCAAATACAAACTAACATAAAATATAAAATAAAAATGTGGGTAAATGAAAAACAATTATATCGAAAAATTAATTTATATATATTTATATATCAATACAACTTAATATATTGATAAAGTTGAAATCAAATGAAATGCGTAATTCTTTTATTGATTCTGAATTATTAAAATTTAAAACATCGACTTGAATATAAAATTTAAATATTAAGAATAAAAACCGGCCAAATACAAGTCAAGAAGTGAGATAAAGATTCGGCATTGTCAGTTATCTAGGGTAGACTTAATTTAACAGCGACGAATCTACTATTGCAATTTAAATTTTTTAATAATGCAACGTTCAGAATACTATAAAAAAATTATTATTTCAAATTATTCGGAAAATACGCATCGCTTACTCGTATTCGCTGTTCTTTAACGATAGCAACTTAGCAAGGTATTCATCACTTACTGCTGAAATAATTTATTTGCAACTCGCATGTCACGTAGACTCTATATTTAAAAGATAGCTTGAACTGGCTGTTAGACTTATGAGAACATATTTTTTATTAGTTTAAGCGCGAACGTTTGTCAAGGCTAAGATGTGATGCACGTTACACTATATGTTGCCCTTTCATTATGGTCTTAAATAGATCTTTCATTATAGGAATATACTCAATGAAGGAAAATTATTCCATAGATCTAGTCTTAATGTCAATTGTGCTTGTTTCGTAATTTAGCTTTCACATTGTGTAATCCTAACGGTCAACAGCACGAATACTGTCACAAACAGTCAGCGTCCATTTACTATGTCACGTTGCATTCAACACGATTTTGCCTCATCACATTATTTAATGTGAGCCCTCCCAGAACGATACGAGCTTTTCCGGAAATGGAGTCTCAATGCTAAAAATGTGTAATTTTTCTTTTAAATATATAATTGAAAAAATAACCTCTAATAAATCTTAGATTGCATTTTATAAATGAACCAAGTACTTGAATTAAATGTTCTTCAAATATCGAAAAAATATAGATGTTGATTTATAAGGAACAAATACAAATATTTTTTATTTATTTCAATATGTCTATAATGTTATTTCACCTAATCTTTGCGTTATGTTAGTACCATAAATATTCGATTGATACATATATTACTACAATTTGATAAATGTGTAATTTAAATATTCTATGAAACAAAAACCATCCCATAGATATAGAAATGAAAATAATTGTCTGCAATTTAGTGTCTTCGTTTTAAAATATATAATTTAATGACAGCATTAAGAAAGTACTCAAAATTGCGATGAAAAATGAGGAGCGTACGCCCCCGCCTCACAGTGCTAATCCGGCCATCTGTTAACATCGGAACAAACCGCTGAAACAAAGGCCGGCCCGACCGTTTTAATGAACCCAGATTATGAAGGTGTTAAACCGCTGCCGCCGCTCTTTCAACTCTCAAATTATGACTTTTGAGCTGAGCCGGCGTCTTCACGGGGTCACATTTCGGCAATTGCCAAAGATACTCCCACTCTCTCCCACTCACACTTTACATATAAACCTCTCGCATTTCTTCGAATATAAAATCCTTTACAGCTTTAGTTTTATTTTAAATTCCGAAATCATAAACAAAATGATCCCTATTACCAACGGCATAAAGTTTTGAATAGTTTCGTGCGATGCATGAGAGTTATTTATCCCTATACGTTATGATCAGAGTTGGTACAAAAAAGACCAAGAAATAATTTTGTCCCTGTCTTATGAGCCAGCCATAGAATTTAAGCAATGTAAATCATTTTATTACAAAACTTCGTTCTTTCTTTGGTTTTGCAGACTTTGTGGTTTATGTTGTACGTTTTTAAAATATTTATACATATTGTACACACATTCTAATAACAAAAAAAAAGTATTTGTGCAAAATTACGAATTAAAAAGCTGGAATAATTTACAAAACAATGTAATGAATATTTTAAGTATATAAATATAGTGAATTTGTGTGTCGTTAATTTAGTGTATAGAATTGTAAAGAAATTTAAATACTTACGTACTATCAACTATTTAAGATGCCTTAATATATCTTTATTTATTATTAAAATAGATTCGTAAAAATTCGAGCCTTCTAACATATTACCTTGTTTCCCAGGATGACTGCCCTTACCCTTTATTTAAATGAGCATAAATGGTAAAAATTTGAGATTTAAAGCTAGTCTCCATTCACCATAAATATATATAAATACAATCGACATGCAAAATTGCTTTCTCACTTAATTTTAAAACAAACAGTTGATTATAAGTTAATTATAACCTATAAAAGAGTAGACCAAAATTGCAAGCTTATCTACCGTAAAATGCCATACGTACCAAAAAAGCTAGCGTACCCGCGAATAAAATGATTAAAACAACAATCTAGAAGTGCTGCTCACTAATGGAAATTAAACTTAAAATATGTCCAACACGTTTAAGCACGCGAATATTTCCTTTTGTGTCATAAATCCAGATCGCGACACCAAAATATTGAATGGTGCCAAAATGTCACCCGGACGGCAAAGACGCCGACAAAGAAACCGCCGCACTGGGTGTTCCTTATTCCACCGCACTGAGCCACACTGAGCCCCTATTTTTTCATTTCATTCAATTTTGACTTCTCTCAAAAGGCTATTAATATAAGCCGCATTTTTTAAAATCAGTTTTAAGGGCAAAGCCGTGCATTGTTGCAGGAGTTTTTTAAATCTGTTTCCGTAGGATACCGCTACCGATTTATAAATGAGATCGCTCAGCCCGCGACGCTGACGGTCCTTGATTTAGGCGAATTTAAAACGTGATGTGGGTTTACATAAAAAAAAACACACCGTTAATAAATAACCTATGAAAAAAAAAACAGATGAAGACAAATTGCTATAATGCGAAGTGAAATAAATTACAACTGCATATTATTTATTGAAGATTGTATTAAAAATTAAAATACTTTCTGATTTTTATTAAATATTAGATTTTATTACATACCAAAAGTGAAGTATCCGCGAATACTTTATTTTTATTTTGTTATGAATTTAATGATTTGGTTGCAATCAAATCAAAGTCAATTTTTAATTGTTTCAACTGCCTAACTTTGAATACTCAAAAATAATATTGCTTGAAAAAGGTATATTGCTTAGTTATATAATAAAACAATTGAATGTCGGTTATTTTTCTTTTGACCACGGTGAATTGAACCACATAAACGCTCTTAAAATAAAAATGTTACGAAAATAAAACGACAATTTATATCATACTAGCTTGCCAGGCAGACGTTGTTCTGCCCTTTTCGATGACCCTGTCATGTCCTATTAAAAAACCATAAATTCGCAAAAAAAATGTGGGTCACTCATGGGCAAAAAAACTATCCTATCTCTCAAGTTGGACCAAACTGCAAACGGTGTGCAAATTTGATTAAAATCTGTTGAGTAATTTAGGAGTCCATCGCGGACAAACAACGTGACACGTAATTTATATATAATAAGATTTTAATTCTACTATATATTTATGATTAAAAATCGGTTGCTAGTTTCAACATTTGCTGGCTGTTGCAAAAATCTACAAACATAAAATTCTAAGCTGACCTTTTTAGTTTTAATAACGAAAATTAATACATATAATATAAACATTTATATAGTACGTGTTTATAACTGTTACTCCAAACATTTTCAAATATTTACTTTTCGTCCATTTAGGTGGTACATGAAATATTAAGAGTAGCCAAAAGAATCAGCGTTTGAGGTATGCTGGGCAGTTATAACGGCAAATTCTCTCCCTATCTATCTATCTATCTATATATATCTACTACTACTATATCAAGATCAAGAGATGTTGATTTCTATAAATTATTTTATTTTTTGCAGGCAGAGGTTCAGATTCCTCGGACATTGAATCCGAGCCAGGCTTAACCCTAAAGAGAAAACAACGTCGCTCTCGTACCACATTTACTGGAGAACAGTTAGATGCCCTTGAACGAGCTTTCCATAGAACGCAATACCCAGACGTGTATACTAGAGAGGAATTAGCTCTACAAACTGGACTTACAGAAGCCAGGATTCAGGTAATTTTTTACATTTATTAGTTAAATTTGTGCAGTCTCGTTAAGTAAATTTAACACTAATTTTTTTTTGGTATTCTATATAAGTCATTATGTTGTTACAATAGTTCATATCAACATCAACGTCATCATTACTGCCCTTCACAAGTCCACTGCTGAACATAGGCCTCCCCTAAGGAATGCCACAAAGCACGGTCCTGAGCCACCTGCATCCATCGACTTCCTGCGTGTCTTACCAGGTCATCACTCCATCTAGTCGCCCTACACTTCGCCTATCACTCGAGAACCTTTTTTCCCCAACGATTTTGTTCCTCAACAGAAACAAAATACATATTCGATTAATTTAAAGATGAATGTGCCTTTGTTTTAAAATCTCAAAGTGATAAGAGTACGTAGCTTATGCGAAATTAAAAGGTCACAGCGATATTTAATTATCATCGTAAAAATATAAACTGTTGAAAATGTCAGTAAAAGTAATTATTTCCGACAGACTTCAGTTAGATGTCATTAAATATAATGAACGTCTTAAAATATGATGCCCCGAGTTGGTAATCATGATCTAATAGAGAGAATAGCTTTGCAGACTCATCAGAGTGACGATAACTTAATAAAATGAAGTAAATTAAAGGTGTGCACATTAATTATTTCCTCGTGAAAAATAAAATGGTGTGTCTTACCTAGTTTACAGAATTGTGGATACTATTGATGACACCACTAAATCCAAAACCATTTTCTTCTACACCCCTACACTAGAAAAATTCTAGGAAAGACACAACTTTAGTCTTTGACACAGATCTTAGCTAATTTTACCATCTTTGATATAATGAGTTTCACCTAAAAAAACATCTGATTCTATTAAATATTCTAAAAAGGTAAAACAACAGCCAACATATAATGTGTCCCGATGCTGAGCACAGACCCTCCTTTCCATTTTGAAAGAGTTTTAGGGTCAGAAAATATCGTGCTTTGGCGTTATTACCGAATGCAGTATTTAATCTCTCAGACAGTAGTATTTTTTCAATGCCGAGTATATAGTATATCAGCACATAAGCTTGCAGCTAAAAATTTCATTGATTTCGGCGGGGATCAAACTCGGTTTGTTTACGAATTATGCAATTTTGAAGACTTTCATCCTCCACGGTTCGATTCAATTCTATTAATAATAAATCTCCATCAGTATAAGTGTTGAAATTATATATTTTTATATGAGAGGGGGAAATGAGCATGCAGCTCACCTGGCGGTATGTGACTACCGCTGCCAGTGAACAACTGCTACATCAGGGGAATTGCAGATGCATTGCCAGCCTTTTAAAAAAGAGTAAGCTCTTTCCTTGAGGTCCTTAAGTTGCTTCAAGAAAATTGCCAGTGATAGGTCGAATCCACAAGGAAGTTTTGCGAGAAAGAAAACTTCGTGTAAAGCGCACAGTGGTAGACCGTCAATCATCCAAATAGTATGGATGTTATCAGTTTTGTCCCAACGTGTAATGGTAAAATTGAGTGACTGAAATTAGTTCGAGTACCTCTGACCTCTGAGCACTCTCCGTGGTTATCTACCACCAATAGAATACGCAAAAAGGCGCAGCGCCAATGAGTCAAGCCGATCAGAAAGAGCTCGGTCACCGATGATTCGAACCGCTCTGCGCTGGATGCGATCAAATCGAAGGAGCTGGCATTGGAGAGCCCTGGCACGGAGATGGAAACAGTATTCCAAGTAAGGCAGAACCTGCGTCAAGCTGCCAAGATTTTTAGAGGCCAATTTGGTCTTCTCTTCCTTTTGACTACGAAACTGTACGTTATTCGATATGTTGATGCCGAGGATTCCGACACTGGCTGAGGCAACAAGGGGAGTGCCCTGAAACTGAAAACGCGCAAACTTGTGTCTTCTGGGGACGTTACAAATAGCTAACGAAAGTATTTTTATTTATTAGCAGCGATAAAAAGGCGATAAAAAAACTGAGAAGGTATTCGGTTAATGAAAATATATTACGTTACTTATTTTTGTTTTGTGTGATTACAGGTTTGGTTCTCCAATCGCCGAGCACGTCTCCGAAAGCACACTGGATCTAATACAACACCAACGCTTGCTAGCTATTCCTCCATACCAATGCCACAAATACCTTGTCCTTATCCTGCTGGAGAAATATCCACTCTCTCTCAACATCATCCTCAACACGCTGAAAGCTGGCATCACCAAAAGTATTCAAATTATAATCAGCTGATGGCTCAATCCCAACATTTAAATCAAGCTTTTCACAACGCTGCTTTTCCCAGTACTTCAAGTTCTACATTTGGTCATCTAGTTACTGGCACCAGTGGTCCAACTCATAGTCAATTATTAGACACAAGTATACCTAGAAACGATTATCCACGGTATTCTGGTAATGAAGTTTACAATAAAACTATTAACTATTTATCAAAGGAAGTTGAAGGAGATGACAAAGTTGCTAGCGATGAGGTTATAGAACCACGAGAAGAATCTTACGTTAAAGTCGCAGCAAGTGACTATGCCCTTAACAAAGAGTTACCAACTAGTGAATATCCTAAAGTTCCTACAGACTATTCCAAGGTATCTATCGATCCATCTTCATCTACTAACTGGAGCCCATCGCACAGTTCTCTGAATATGAGCTTAGCTGGTTTATCTAGTGAATACAAATACATGAACGATCCTTACTCTTTTCCTAGCGTGCCGGATCCTCTTAATCAACATAATTACCCTAATCCTCCTAACACAACAAATAAGTATTGGGTTTGACATAAAATAAGATTGTTCACGTGTAGAATGATAGCTATTTGAATTTATAGTATCTTAAAGATTAATTTATTTATAAGAATTTAAAAATAATTATTTAAATACCTCTGTTAAACATTCCATTTAAGCATAAGTACCCATAATAAAACCAAATTGTAAAATTTATTGTTTCTAAAAGTCAATAGTAAAATATACTTATACGATCTATTTATGTTTTTATTAATTAGACATAACATGCATTTTTTTATTTTTATAGAAGAGGGGACAAACAAGGATGCGGCTCACCTGATGTAAGTGACTACCACCGCCCATGATCAACCGCAACACCAGGAGAATTGCAGGTGCGTTGCTGGCCCTTTAGAAAGGAGTAAGCTCTTTTCTTGAAGGTCCCTAGCTCCCTAGGTCGTATCGGTCCGGAAAAATCGCCGGTGGTAAACTATTCCACAGAGAAGTACGCGGAATAAAACTCCTTGTGAAACGTACAGTGGTGGACCGCCAAGCATCCAGATGGTGTGGATGGTATCAGGACGTTTGCCGCGTAGTGCGTTCATGAAATTTGGCGGCTGGGATTAATCCGAACAATTCCTCAGAGCACTCCCCGTGGTATATGCGAAAGAAAATGCAAAGAGATGCAACATCTTTTCGTAGCGCCAGTGAATCGAACCGATCGGAAAGTACTCGGTCGTCGACGATTGGAGCCGCTCTGCGCTGGGTGCGGTCAAGTGGAAGGAACTGGCACGGGGAGCTCCAGCCCATAGGTGGGAACAGTATTCCATGTGTGGCCGAACCTGCGCCCTGTAAAGTTACAGGCGATGTGCTGGCATGAAATACTGTCCCGCTCTGCTGAGCACGCCAAGCTTTTTAGAGGCCTTTTATTCCAAGTAACCACGAAAATGCACGTCGCTCGATATGTAGACGCCGAGGATTCCGATACTGGCTGAGGCAACAAGGGGAGTGCCTTGAAACTGAGGAGATACGACAAAGGGGTTCTTTGGCGCAAGCTTGTGTCTTTTGAGGGTTAAATTGGACTAGATTTAGTCGCCCCCAATCCGAGATGTATTTGTTCAGCAAAGACTTGACTTCAGACACAAGTTTCTCCCAGTAAAGTGCATGCTCAATGCTCATTTAATATGGTGCAACTAGGAACGATACTATTTTATAAATCATTCAATTCATCCGGATGACTCTTTTTCGACCTGGAAGAAGAACAGAAACAGAAATAAAACGGAAACTTTTTATTGAATATAGATTATAGATAATACTTATTGAAAGTCACTCTGTTGTTTAATTTACGAGTGGTTATTTACTCGCGTAGTGGCTCGCGTCTTATTTACTCTCTCTCTAACATCAACGGTCATAGGTAAAGTAAGGTCATATGTAAGTGTGAAAATAAACTGTCATCGGCGCAGCAAATTCAAAATTGCGTTTGCTCAGATTGCGTACAATGCCAAATAGTGAACGAGGAATTTATTTTATTGTATCGATATATTGGTATCAGTATCTATATCTATAAACTGAATCCAAGTATCGATATTTTTGTACTGAAATCAAATATCGATACTAATACCGATAAATCGATACCTAAATATCAGTATCTATAACGATAACCCGATATCAACACTTGCAAAATATCGGTATTACAGTCCCTGCTAGTGGGGGGCCTGTTTTTTCTAACGGATGTCAGTTTTTTGAAGTATATGGTCGGCCCATTGCCTTTTTAGTTCATTGATCGTTTGAGCTATGTCGTATATATCAAATATATAATATAAAGGATAGTGAAGCAAAATTAGTAATTGGTCTCTATGCATGCTCGTCTGTCTGTATGTTAGTAAGTTAACGATCATGGACTTCTATCCGATTGTGGCAGTGCGAAATGGAGGGTTATGATTTTTAATTAGAAGTTTCTTTTCATAATGATTCTATTCGAATGTAACGTAGAGCTTTTTGAATATTATATATCTATTTAATTTATACATTCATACATACAAATAAAACTGAAGTGTCTGTCTGAATATATCGAAATAACTGCCTTGCGTTCCATTAAGACATGAATAAACATTTTTTTAATTTTTTGTCTGTCCGTCTGTCTGTCTCTTGGGGTTCAATCTTCGGAATGGCTTAACCGATTGCAATGAAACCTCACGAATTTTTTTTTCAAAAACTAGGAAAATAAAAAAATAAAACTTGATAAAATAAATGTTCTACGTACTACGTACTATATAAATAATAGTACTACGTACTATTATTTATTCTGTGGTAAGGGTGGTGGTTTCCTTGCCCTAAAATCCTCTCAGAAATGGGGGGAGGCCCGTGCCCAGCAATGGGACGTATATAGGCTGTAACTTTTACTACGTACAGAAGTTGCAGTACTTTGATGTTGACTGCTTTCTGACTTTTGATAGCATACATAATTATTGCAAGGTGAATAAAACTTTATCGCTGTGCGCGAGTGTCCGTATTACTTAGCATCTTCTCCCCTTCCTTCGTCACGGCGGATTTTCCGTGGTTACTAAAGGATGTCAATAAAGAGTAAAACAATACACATTGCGGAGCATTAATTAAGTTACTTAGGCCAAGTACCTATTCTGACTATGATCGTCTGACTATCTATTATATTTTCGCATCTATGTAAGTTCATCGATGCCCAACGTATGTAAATTGCAAGGACATTCGTCAGGAATCGCGATGCTTGGCTCTTAAGAAATAGATAGATAGTGTGAACAACAAATAAACCTGAAATACGATCCCTAACAGAAATGTGACCGTATTCGACTTAGTTAAAAATCTTACTAGTAAACAAAGTTATAATTTCAGTGTTATGTGTTATTATAACTTTAAATATTTTAATTACAAAAAACAAGTACAGGTATGTAAGTAGATACTTGGATAGTGAAGTAAATTTCAACTAAGTTTTGTAATAAAGTACGTAGGTATTACTTCTGTAGATAAATTATTACTTAAATCTTTTCGCTATAAGTACCTATCTTACAAAAAATAAATAAATTCACCTTTTATAACTTCCTACTAAAATCTTTCGGTAACTTAAAAAGAATGATATAACTATCTGAAACCTTTTGTTGGTTATTTAGCATCTATCCACGCAACAATTATGTATAGTACGAACGTTTTGCTATTACAATTTATTAAATAGATAATATACATAATATGTATAAATTTTAAATTACAATGAACTTTTTTTAATTTTGTCCTACAATTACATATACTAAACACTAAACAAAAACTATTTCAACAAGTATTTACAAAAAACTATTTAGTTAAACAGCGTTAAAAACTTTTACATTCAACCGCCTACAACGCGTTAGCCCCGACTGCGTAAGTTACTCTGGGTGATTCGCGATTGTAGGTAATTATTTCACGCAGGTAGCAAAAGTTCAGTATATATAAAGGTACTCTCTGCAAGAGTAACAGATGGCTGCCGCTACTCTATAAAAAATGCTTACGTGCTACGACTGCCGAACAGAACTTTTGAAGATGCTAATTTTTAAAATAAAATTGTAAATGAAACAAATTGTTTTAGTATATTTTGACATTTATTGATACTATTCAACCAAAATTCAAATCGTCAAAGTAAGCAACTTTTTGTTGAAATTTTCTTCTGAATTGAAAAATCCAAACAAAACATCCTATTCAGCTGACAAATTTGTAAGGGAAGTCAAAAAATTATTTCATTTCTGAAGAATATTTTGATAGTTGCTAAATAAAAATGTATGTACCCACTTATAATTAGGGAGTAAGGGACGGATTGCAAACAATTGTAAATTTTGATTAAGTCTCTTGATTTTGCCAAATAAAACATATACTTAATTACTAATACTACAAGAATTGCTAGTTTTGCTAAAATTTTTCTTATTTTCTTAAATAATATGATTAGCAAAACTATCTGTTAATAAATAGGTAACAGAAATTTTCTGACAAATTATTTGCCTGTTTTGTTATATATTTTATTATTCTGAATAAATATAATATCTTCGATTAAATTGCTTTTTAAATTTAAACGGTACTTCGAAGCTACTAATTTCAAAGGCTGGACAAGCTAAAACAATACATGCTAATTTGTAGAGACGAGAATGAGTGTTTTTTCAGACCCCCAGTGATTTAATATGTTTTCTATCGACTTAAGAGAGGTTCCTTAACAAACACAGCAATTTCATCATCCAAGTTCCCGAATCCATGTGGGCACATGCTATAAGATATATATAAGGTATATATTGCTTTTAGCCTCCACATGTTTTGTGCTAAGAAAATGTTCTAACTTTTTTTTAAATAAAAACAATAACTAGATAAGCACTGATGCATTTACAACTCCGCTCTGGTACCGCCACCAGCCGCTTTGTCGGTGCCGAACGCTGCGTTGCCACTTCGCGTGACATGTGCCGCAAAATCTGGCACCGTCGCGCAGCCATTATAAGTATCGATACCCGATATCGGTAAAGATATCGGTATTTTATACCGTTAGAACACAACGCATATCAGAACCTAATAAATCGAGTTATCAATACTAATATCGATATTAATAGAGAAGTATCGGATTTTCCAAAATATCGATATCAGTACCTGCCTACTAGACGAGGTGACAACCTGGTAAGACATGCGAGTAGTCGATAGATGCAGGCGTCCCATGACCGTATTTTGTGGCATTCCTTAGGGGAAGTTCTTTATTATATACCTGGGGAAGTCTATCTTTAATCTGACTTGTAAGGGGTATTAATAATGATGATGATTTATATAGTCCCTTGAGATTATTCTTCTATAAAATATTAGAATTACAGACAAGTTTTACGTGTTTATCATATTGTGTCGGCGCATTATTATTAGTAATAAATAATAATTAATATACATATGCTATCTTCCAAAAATATCATAAGAGTAATATTTTCAACAAGTAAAATGCATTGATAAGCATAAAGTCTAAATATATTTATTTTGAATATTAAGTATTATGGCAAAGTAAAGCCTTAATAGTAACCCTAAAACTTCATTAT